CTATCCCCAGCTTGATTAGCAAATAATTAAAAAATATTTTATTCAAATGACATCAGATAACACAAAACAACTGATCTTCAGGTTTATTCAAAATGTATAAATCAATCAGTCAGCAATTGTTTTAGCCACATCTAGTGCACGTATTTAATAAGTTCCGAGAATTGGCGATAATTTCCTTCATTTCAGTCTTGATGTGACAATAATTAAACAAATTATTAATTAAACCTGCCATATTTGTGTCAAGGATTTTATTATATTTCACTTGAATGATGAGCAAAGACACGTGTTCAGTGTTATTGTTAGGAAACTATATACATAAGATATGTCTTATCCGTTACAATGTGGCTTACATGGCTTTTCTTTGTTTGTTGGATTGGGTTTCACGTCATACCGACATAGTATAAGTCATATGGCGACATTCAAGATTTACCGGTGGAGGAAGACCTCAGGTGCCCTTCCGTGCATGCATGGCAACGTATCATTCACATACGCTGCGTTACCCAGTCTCAATATCTTAAATCTTTCTTGTTGCAAAAAATGACAAAACGTTCATAAATTTCATGGACGAGGAAAACATTTTATTTGCAAATTTTAAAAGATACAACGATGTTGACTATAAATTGATCGAAAACATTGAAATAAATCAGTCGTCTTTCTGTTAACCCCGACTTATTTTATTTTGAAAACTAAATAATACATATCCGTTTGTATTATTAACGCATCGCCTACACTTTTCAATATGTTCAATGTTAATTCCTGACAACTGAATAAATTGCATGTCAAAACAGATTAACCTCTAATTATCATATAAAATGTTTATAGCTCTTTTATCATTTATAGGCGGCATTACTAGAATATAACTTTAAATTATAATATTTTTGACATTGACAATGTCGTTTTCAACTATTTTACATGGCAATAAACAGAAACGTATACATGTTATAACGCAGGCACAGGCGATAAATTATCTATCTATTGCGTTTAAAACAACAGTAAAAGAGGCAAATTCTCTTAATAAAGAGAAAAACGCATTAAATAGATATAACATCATTATTTTGCTCACATAGGTGAAACACATATGCTCTCTTTCATTGCGTGAAGGTCAACTTTTATGAGTGTATATCTCTCTAATTGTTGCCACACTCAATATTACATTCATTTTAATTTACATTACAATTTTAAAATGATAAAAATAAACATTGTTTATCTAAAAGGTAAATTTATGTATTTATTTGTATCATAGTTTGGGGACCTTTCTGTTGAAAAAGTGTCAGAGTTAAATTGTATACATACATATACATGCACAGTGCCGTAACTGGAGTGCAGGTATCAGTTACCCGCACTCCAGATAATGCCCGACGATTGGTTCATTTTTGCCGGGGTTTGCATATTGTGACGGCAGTGAAAGGGAAAGGGGCAGAACTATCATATTCAAATGCTCATTCATTGGTTATTTTTTTCTGGGGTTTCATATTATGACAACAGGGAACGTGCTGTCATGTTTGACTATGATACAAAAGAGAAAGCACACCAAAACACTTGGCAATCTGATTTATACTCGGGGGCTACGCCCCCTCGTACAAATCAGATAGCCTCGTGTTTCGGTGCTCTTTCTATTACATAAGAAGGTCATCTATACTTTTCTCTTATAGAATAACCTCCCATTTTATAATGCAATGTTAAGCACGATTGTTACGTGTAAAAATGTATACATTAACCCTTTCCCACATGAGCATATTGTGAAAAATGGCCGTTTTCAGTGAAAAGCCTCCTGTTACAAGTTCAAACTGCTATGAAACTATGAAAAATGCTTCAATACTAATCAAACTTGGCACAAATGTTGACTGGACCATTGCCTTTGTAAGGACATGCTCAGTCTTAAATTTCCTGTTACCATGGCAACGAGGGGACATCTCAAAATTGCCAAAAATCACTATTTTGCCTCGATTTTTTCCATCAAAATTTATTTCAAAGTGCTGCAACTTCTCAAGGGATTGAGATAGAGTCAAAGGCTTTTCAGCGTTGGTTACACGTTACCTTATGATCGACCTGGGGTCATTTTCAGCCTCTCACAAGTCCAAAATTTTCTTGGCGATGAGGGGGACTCCGCCCCCCTTCAAACCCCCCAAACAGAAGGGGGCACATCCCCCTTCTGGCAACCCCCTGATGTATCTTTTGGATGGGGGCGGCGCCGAAAAAGTGCTCACTTTTTTAAGCAACATTTCTCAAACGAAAACATGTGTTTGGGGCCCAAATAGGACATTTTTTCACTATTTCAGGCCTAAAAAAAGGGGGGGGGGGGTCGAAAGTGCGTTGTTTCGCGTATATATGAGGTAAAGGGTTAACAAAAAATGATAAAAAACTTTGGAATCGTCCAAAATCTACTTTTTCCATGTTAACATGTGGTCTTTCATCTAATGTTGGTGAAAAATTGTTGTTTTGTAACATGTATAATTTTTTTAGTTAACCCTTTCCCACATGAGCATATTGTGAAAAATGGCCGTTTTCAGTGAAAACCCTCCTGTTACAAGTTCAAACTGCTATGAAACTATGAAAAATGCGTCAATACTAATCAAACTTGGCACAAATGTTGACTGGACCATTGCCTTTGTAAGGACATGCTCAGTCTTATATTTCTGTTACCATGGCAACGAGGGGACATCTCAAAATTGCCCCAAATCACTATTTCGCCTCGATTTTTTCCATCAAAATTTATTTCAAAGTGCTGCAACTTCTCAAGGGATTGAGATAGAGTCAAAGGCTTTTCGGCGTTGGTTACACGTTACCTTATGATCGACCTGGGGTCATTTTCAGCCTCTCACAAGTCCAAAATTTTCTTGGCGATTAGGGGGACCCCGCCCCCTTCAAACCCCCCAAACAAAAGGGGGCACATCCCTCTTCTGGCAACCCCCTGATGTATCTTATGGATGGTGGGCGGCGCCGAAAAAGTGCTCACTTTTTTAAGCAACATTTCTCAAACGAAAACATGTGTTTGGGGCCCAAATAGGACATTTTTTCACTATTTCAGGCCTAAAAGGGGGGGGGTCGAAAGTGCGTTGTTTCGCGTATATATGAGGTAAAAGGTTAAACATATTATTTAAGACTCGGTACAGTTTAAACATGTTAAAATCATTTGAAAAATGACAGATTAAAGCAAAACTATGCGAGTTGTGAACGTGCTTGTGCATTTAGTCGCTTATTTATTTATATTATTTTTCAACATTGGGTAGTGCTTCATATTTTTTTCATCGTTTCAGATTTCATGCCGCATATCAATGCCATTCATGGATATAGTGTTTTCATTTACATAGTAAACAATTTAATTCTTTGAATGTCTTTTAATCTGATTAAATCTGTATTGCTTTATTTCCTCTCAATGTCAGAAACAAATTTCATTAATGACAACGTATTTGATTAAAAAGTCAGTAATGGTAAAACATAATCGTTCAGAATACAAATTTAATTTTCCTTTTTATCATATTTATTTATTAAAAAAAAGGTTTTTGTAAGACCAGATATTTCTAACAGAAATATAGAAAATGTGAGGAAACATTTCATGTTTATAGCGAAGTATTTATATATGATAATAAATATAACGATATCGAACTTCTTTTATGAAGTCCCTTTCAACATAAATCAAGCAAGTTTTATAATTTTCTTTATTTTAATTACCGTTTCCCTTAATATATCAATTAAACTGACATTTGTTGAAATAATATTTTGTTTGTTACATTGCATATAATATAAAATTACACAATCCGTCTTTTTATCCCAAAGAACCACAATTTGGAACTGAATTTCTTTTTTTTTTAAGTCCTAAGGTTAGGAAACTTTAACATTTGCGATTTCAAGCTCACCTTTTTGAAGAAACATCTCCAGCTATTATCACAACCAGGTTGTTGTTTCCTTTGCTGTTCAGAAACTTAAACGTTTGCCATTATTTTTATTTCATTATATAGGTTTGCCTTCATACTTTGACACAAAAAGCTCTTTGGACAGGACCTTCAAGTACCCCAGATTTAACTTGGCTATGACTTATATATAACCTTTACCAAATTTGCCATAAGAAAAACATACATTTCTTTTCAAATATATATTTTATAATAATCTTAACATTAAAATAGAAATCAGCATGGTTTAATTGCTGAATAAGTTGTTATTATGTGTGACCTACACAGCCACGTACATGTATTTACATTTCCGTCTGCACTCTCCAGGCTGGGGGCAAGATCCCAGATAATGTCATATCCTGTTGAAAACATGCCAGTTCAGTGAAACACAAATGAAAACTGAATAAATTCATTTGAGTTTTCAAGAAAAAATGAAAAATGGGAAAGTGTGCGGGACCGGGTCCTGTGCGGAACACTGACTCTACACGTAAATTTTAAGGCAGTAAATCGATTCGCCCTTGTGTAAAATGAACACTCTGATTGCATAAACAATGATAGTGTACAACCTCGATTATGGGTGGGTACGATCACAAATTTAATTACTCATGGAACAATTTCAGGAATTTAAAGTTTTCGGTGCATGTTGATTCTCTAATAAAGATTGGGCTTGAGACTGTAATTGAGAGGTTATAAATTGTTCAGTTGATTTCAAAATGGAATAGATATATCGGATATGCCACATCAGTTATAGAGTAGAATAGAATAAAATAGAATGTTGGGTTACAAACTGCCAAATTTGCATGGGCCTGTTGGGATGCACATATTTTGAAACCGTGTGTCTTTCTTGATTTTTAAGTGTTTCCGGCGTGTTAAACTCTACATGTTTTTATTTCTGGACTATTTTTCGAAAAGAAATTTTATAAAATGTATATATACGCATAAATTATTGATAAATTACCTATTCTAATACAACTTAAAGGAAAAAGACAAACAGACAAATTAAAATTAAACGATAATTTGAGAGGAGCTAGAGACGAATTGATACAGGTGCGAACTGACAGGTAGCTATGCGTGAATGGGACGAATCGTTATTTTGCTATTTTGCCATGAGTTGCTGCCCTTTTAAAACAATCCGCCATGCACTAGTATAATGAAAAGTCAAATTTCTGTTCATGTTATTTGGAAAGAAAGCAGTATTTAAATTAAACGGGATGTTTGGTATGCATTTTTATCGACTCCTGAAATTACTTTAACGATGCTTTATAATTCATTATATTTATGATAAGGAAAATCAGTATGTAGTTTTAAGTAGATAATTTTTAGCAGTTCAGACCTCCTTATGTTACTGGGATCCACAGGCAGTCGGTGTGATTGTCTGCTGAGATACACGGAGAAGATGTAAAAGTAAAACCTATCTAAAAAACCCCATTATTTAGGCCCTCAATATTCACACATTATTCCCTGCATGACAAGGTCTTGAAATAACATAGTAAACAAAAGGGCAAGTAAGTAAATAAAGAACTGAATCAACAATTTTTATCCGAGAGTGGTTTTGTTGTTTTTTACTTCGACTTGGAAAGTGTGTCCACGATTCAGACTGCATGACATCTGAAACGAAACAAAAATAAAGCACAAATAGACAGGAATAGATTTTGTATGGTAAACTCTGATTCATGATCTAAGTGTGACTTAAACCAGCTATTACTCATATCTGCGGATATGACTTAAAATACCGGACGTGACTTACATTTTATTATTTCTGTCTTGATACGTTGTTTTGTAATTATGAAATGATATTACATTTACAAATTTTTTTAACGTTTAGGACCTATACATTTCGGCTTCAAAACCGGGGTCTTTTCAGCATCTTTTGTAAATTTAATAAATTTTAAGATGTAAGATACTGACAAATATGAGTTATAATATTATATACAAAATGTAATGAAATTTCCCTGGGGAAAATTATTTATAGGATAGTTTATATAAACTATCAGCATTAAATCTGAATGTACATTTATATATAAATATTTGTTATCAAAAATCATAAAATAGCTTTCATAAAAAGGATGTTGATTAAACATGTATTTATATGTTGACATATAACAGATTAGAGATCATTAGTTAAAGAAGTTTGAAAGATGTATAACACACATTATGTTTGTTAATGGAAGTGGCTAGCATTACGTACATTTTCACAAAGAATGATTTAAATTAAATACATATTTTTTTCTAAATTTTGTGATCACTTTTAATCCGGTGTCCGGCCTGCGTCTGTTAACTTTCACTTTAAACAACATCTCCACACAAACTGCTAAGCCAATTTCATTCAAACTTCACAGGAATGTTCCAGTGGTCACCAATAATAAATTGTAATTGTTCAAATAATGTAATTCTATGCAGAACTCTGGTTTGTTCAAATAAAAGCCATCGGGTGAAAACTAGCCCCAACGTAAAAACCTTAAAAAATCTTCTTTTAAAAAACTCAAACAGCTAGAGACTTAGATATTAAGATATTAAGCATGAAACATTTTCTAGTGGGTGTATACCAATTTGATTCAAATAAAAGCCCTGAGGCCAACTTCCAAGTTGGCCCCACCACGGGGGATCATTTATTTTCTTGGATTATATGTTTAAGTAAAATGTTTAAATATCTTTTGAAAAATTGAAAGAGCTAGAGCTTAGATACTAAGCATGAAACATCACCTAGAAGGTCTCTTCCAAGTTTGTTCAAATAAAAGTCCTAATGTCAAAATTGGCTCTGCACCAGGGGTCATTGATTGTCCTTATATGTATATAGTAAAAACCTAAATTATCTTCTTTAAAAAAAAATCCTAAAGAGGTAGAGCTAGGATATTTAGCATGCAACATCTTATAGGTGTCTCTAAAGTTTGTTTAAATAAAAGCCCTGGAGCGAGATATTCCACTACCGCACTACCGAATTGGGATAGGGGGCCATCTAACTGTAAACAGAACAAAAGAGAACAATAGAGTTCATTCCGTTACAATAGAGTTAGGGGCCATTGTCCCTCTATTAAAATCAAGAAAATAACAAAAGAAATGGCCTCTTATTACATTTTGGCCAGATGTCCGTCCGTCCATCCGTCCGTCTGTTCTCTTTTGTGTCGCACATAGCTCAAAACGTATTTGACCTAGTCATGAAACTTTACAGGAATGTTGATCAGCATGTGTAATTGTGCACCTGGGTATTTTTGTGTGGCTTTATTAGCTCACCAGAGCCGAAGGCTCATGGTGAGCTATTAGTATCAAAGGGGGATGCTCCGGCGTCCGTCGTCAACAATCGTCTTCTTCTCTGAAACTACTGGGCAGATTTAGTTCAAATTTGGTCTGTAGCATCCTTGTGACGATCACACTTGAATTTGATCATGTCATTCCAATTGGCCCCTTTTAGGGGTCATTAGAGCTAAAAATAGATAAACCTTTAAACATCTTCTTCTACAGAACTTATTGATGGATGATCACCAAACTTTGTCTGTAGCATTCTTGGGTAGTGTTTTATCAAGTTTGCTCATATTAATTTGATTGGCCCCTTTTAGGGGCCGCTAAAGCTAAAAATAGAAATACTGTTAAATGTCTATTTCTAGAGAACTAATTGATGGATGATCACCAAACTTTGTCTGTAGCATTGTTTGGTAGTCTTTTATCAAGTTTGCTAATATTATTTTGATTAGCCCCTTTTAGGGGTCTCTAGGGCTAAAAATAGAAAAACCTTTAAACACCTTCTTCTACAGAACTAATTGATGGATGATCACCAAATTTTGTCGACAACATTCTCAGGTAGTGTTTTATCAAGTTTGCTCATATTCATTTGATTGGCCCCTTTTAGGGGCCACTAAAGCTAAAAATAGAAATACTGTTAAATGTCTATTTCTAGAGAACTAATTGATGGATGATCACCAAACTTTGTCTGTAGCATTCTTGGGTAGTCTTTTATCAAGTTTGCTAATATTATTTTGATTGGCCCCTTTTAGGGGCCGCAAAAGCTAAAAATAGAAATACCTTTAAATGTCTATTTCTACAGAACTAATCGATGGATGATCACCAAACTTTGTCTGTAGCATTCTTGGGTAATCTGTTATCAAGTTTGCTCACATTAATTTGATTGGCCCCTTTTAGGGGCCGCTAAAGCTAAAAATAGAGAAACCTTTTAACATCTCCTACTTCGGAACCAATTGATGGATGATCACCAAACTTTGTCTGTAGCATTCTTGGGTATTCTTTTATCAAGTTTGCTAATATTAATTTGATTAGCCCATTTAGGGGCCACTAAAGCTAAAAATAGAAAAAACCTTCAAACATCATTTCTTACTAAAATAATTGATAGATGATCACCAAACTTTGTAGCATTCTTAGCTGATATTAATTTGATAAGCCCTGTTTAAGCTAAAGCTTAAATGCCCCAGGTCATGGCATTTCTTCAAATTATTGTTTAAACATATTCTATGCTTAAGTTTAATATGAGAATATATTGACATTCCAACACTGAAAATCAGTCGTTTCTGGTGAGCGACTCAGGGCCATCATGGCCCTCTTGTTTAGTATTTTTAGAGTTATTGCCCTTGATTTAGTAAAAATTTGCAATTTTCAACATGTGTCCCACGTAACGCAACAGGTATTTGACCTAGAATCATGCAACTTTACAAGAATGTTGATCAGCATGTGAAGTTGTGCACCTGGGGTTTTGCTTGTGGATTTGTTTTGGTAGAAAAGATTTATAAGATGATTTCTGGGTCAAGTTAGAATATGGATCATCTGGGGTCAAATGCAAGGTCACACAATCCAAATGTGTAAAAACCTTTTTAACACTCTAGAGGTGACTGTTTTGGTCCAGATATTCTGAGAGTGTTCGGAAAGCTTTTTTTACATAATTTGAAGGCCAAAGTGGAATATGGGTCATCTCAGGTCAAAAACTAAGTCACACAACCCAAATATGGAAATGCCTTGTTAAAATTCTTGGGGCTACTGCTTTTGTCAAAATATCCTCTTTATTGGTCAGTTAGGTTGGATAGAAGAATTGTAGGTCAAGTTTGAATATGGGTCATTTTGGGTCATAAAGTAGGTCACACAGACCAAAACCTTTTAACGTATAAACACTATAAATGTACTAGTCTCAGCCTAAATATTTCAGAAAATTTAAGCAAAGTTGTTCAAATCATTTGTAGGTCAGATTTGAATATGGGTCATCAGGTGTCAGCCAATCTATGGAAAAACCTTGTTTACATTTGCTTTTATTTTCAGGTGCAGATATGAACATACAGCCCTAGAAGCCATCAGAAGTGACAAATTAGGATAACATTCTGGAGAATAAACCTTCTGCATGTACTACCTGTGCTAGTTTATTCAGACATGAGCAATAAATGTAAAGTTTGTGATTGCACATTCAGCTGTATGGGCAATTTGAAACAACACGTGGAAATTCACACTGTGAAGAAACGTTATAAATGTTATAACTGCGATGCCACCTTCATCGGTATGAGAAGTCTGGAGCTACATGTTTTGAGACATGCTGGAGAAAAACCTTTTAAATGTGATGTATGTTTTCGTACTTTCACCAAAAAGTGTCATCTGAATGAACACAAAATGATACATACTGGAGAAAAACCCTTTTCATGTAGTGTATGTAATTGCACATTCATCAAAAAATGCAATCTGAAGCATCACATGAAGATACATACTGGAGATAGACCTTTTAAATGTGAAATCTGTAATGGTACATTCAGCAATATGGGCAATATGAAGCGACACATGACAATGCATAGCGGAGAAAAAAAACCTTGTAAATGTTAAGTCGGATAAGACGTCCAGCAAACTGAGCGCTCTGAAGGTAGTCATGAGAACCACGATACTGGAGAAAAAAACAAACTTGTCAATGTAATGTATTGTAATGGCAACTTTAGCATTAATATGTATCAGAAGAAACACATGGGGAGACAACTTGAGAACAAACTTTAATGTTTTAAATGTCAAGTCTGTTTTGTACATTCAGTGATGTGAGTAACATGAATAAACACTTAAGATTGTGAACTATCTGCAACACAGTGGCGTCTCTTTACAAAGCTACCAAGAGAGTAGGGACCAGTTGGTAAAATTACTTCATTCGGACCTATTTCCTGTCAAAAATTGCTGTTGGGAGTGTATAGTATCCATGAATAATTGTTCATGATTTGAAAAAATAAGAATTTTGTTTTTTAATGCACTTTCAATAAGAATTTACATGTTATCTATTTTGAAGTTTTATGTTCTTTGTTGATAATAAAATACTGTCAAATTACTCATTTCTTCTAAACTTTGACATTTTAAAAATAATGTAGATGATTCATACTTGGACAATACAACAAGTGTATCTAAACAGACTTATAAAAAATTAATAAATGGATTTGTTTAACCCGTTCATTTGTTTGCCTTTAGGAAAAGTAAAATGTTGAGCGTTGATAACAAGGGCTACAATAATTGCAATGCAAGTAGCATATGGTCAAACATTGAAATTGAATTGAAATTCTATTGTCCATTATTATATCATTATCCCAGAAATTGCATTAAAGTAACATGATAACAAAATATGGCCTAAAAAACTACAAGAAAATTCTATGATATGAAGTCTGTTTTTTATTGTTTCTTCTTAGAAAATGAAATAATGCACGTGACATGTAATCAGGGAAGGCTTAATGAGCATTTCAAACATCTGACAGTATGTAGTTGAAAATTATCTTTTAAGTTTCTTATTATATATTATTTTTCATTTAGAACCATAACGTATGCCCGGTTGATATGCGTAGGCATAAACCTAAAAATATACATTTAATTTAGTTTAATCAATCACAATGTTAATTTGAGTTGCAATGTTATACAATTATAAAAAAAATATAATTGTAAATTTATTGATGGCAAAAGCTATGTCTCCAGCTTTTCAAGAAATATCAAACCCTGAAGTTGTGATCACCTAAGAATATATTTTTTTCAAATTGCTTCCCATCGAAACTGCATTGTTTTTAGCTCACCTGTCACAAAGTGACATTTCGAGCTTTTGTGATCGCTTTTCGTCCGGCGTTTACTTTAAACGACTCTCCTCATAAACCACTAGGCCAATTTCATCCAAACTTCACAGGAATGTTCCCTTGGTAGTCAACTTTAAAAATTGTTCAAAGAATTTAATTCCAAGCAGAACTCTGGTTGCCATTGCAACTGAAAGAAAAAACTTAAAATATCTTCTTTTAGAAAACCGAAAGAGCTAGAGCTTAAATATTTGGCATCATCTAGTCATAAATGCCCTGGGGTCAAAATTGGCCCCGCCCCAGGGGGTGGGGTTCATTGATTTTCCTTATTTGTATATAGTAAAAAATTAAAATGAAAAACCCAAATAGCTAGAGTTTAGATATTATGCATGAAACATCCTCTAGCGGGTGTCTACTGAGTTTTTTCAAATAAAAGCCATGGGACAAAAATTGGCCCCGCCCTAAGGGTTCATTGATTTTCCTTATTTGTATATAGTAAAAAAATAAAAAATAAATTGCGACTATAGCTTGTTTCTTAAAGGCAAATAAATGCCAATGTATACTTATTTGGAGCTATAACATTAAATACCTTCATCGAGACTCCGCCACGTCGTTCTAAGGGGCAAATACTTCGCCACGTCGTTCTAAGGGACAGAGACATACCGTTAATGTTTCTGCTTATTGTACTTACTACTTAATATACATTACTGGCATATACACGTTATACATTGGATGTTAACCTGTTGTTTGATATATTCAATAAATTTATTTATCGTTTACTTAATTAAGTACACTACGTTTTTGAATTCAAAATGGACTATACCTCTATTTGCATTACCTTGCTAAATGTCACATAAATTATTATGAACTCGCATGAACATAAATGCTAATTTTCTTTGAATTTATGATGATCATGCTATATAATCAATTCAGTAAATGGAATCCTTTAATTCAGACATTGTGACCTTGACTGTGCCACAGTCAATGATAAAGCGATACGTGATTCTCCCGGTAGACGAAATCTGACCCTATTGGAAGTAAATAGTTTGATATTCTCCCATTCTCCCGATGCGACGTCACGATGCAGATCATTTGTATTTGCATATTATTTTGCAAAACGTGATATCTCTATTCATCACAAAATTATGCAATATGTGTATGTCTTACAAACATAATGAATTGTCAATGCTTTGTACAGTGGTCGCAGCCGTTTTAGCAAGTATCAGTTCATGCTAGAAACATATAATTTTAATGTATGAACATTGTTGATAGAATTTTCAGCATTCTAAAATAGGTAGAGATTTAATCACCGTACATTTCCGTAATATTCCGACAAAATTAAAAATATACTATGCTCATATTTGATTTTAGAAAATATTGATAATTGCTACACAGTCTCTTTGTAAAATATAAAATAAAAATGTTTTGACTTCACACAAAGTATGTATGTTATGCTTAAAATAAACACACTATAAGTGATCAAGATATGAAATATGAAGATGTGGTATCATTAAAAAACTGGCAATTTCTTTTTAATGAAAAGACCAACTTTACTTGACCTATTATACTGGGAAAGCAGCTTCTTATACATAGTTTGTTCATTCTTTTTCGAATTAGACATTTTCCGTAAGAATTTCATATTCTGTGAAATAAATATTTTACTCAACGATGAGCATAGTATATCTAAACATTTTATTTTCTTTGAAATGATTTTTTGGAAGTATTTTGCATTAAAATGCTTTACATGTACAATAATTATGTTGCATAAAAAACCTCAACGAATGACAGTGTATTTATGAATTACCTATCTATTATTTCAGATAATGTATATTCCGACAAACCTAACGTTATTATTTAAAAATAACAATATGAATATTTCACACGTAGTGAGTTTTCACCGCATAATCAGAACTGACATTATTAAATTTAGATATGTTCTTGAGTGACATAATATGAAAATGATAGGCTGTTTTTGTGGTGACAACTAACTTTATGACATTTTTCATGTGCAATGAAATAAGCTTAGTAATACCTTCATATCAACACAGCCTTTCTTAAAAGTAATGGTAACAATATCGTAGGTGAAACAGTCCCGTTGATTTTTTTGTGGAATTTTTAGCGGAGATCCTTTTAATTTAAAAAAACAAACACAAACACAACAACAATAACAAAAAAAAAATCAAAGCACAGAAGGCGCTGAATTTGTTTGGGTCTCCGAATGTCAGAAGGTGAAGGTTGTGAGATGATAAACCAATTTGTTTTTGTAAAGTGCCACCAATGCTTTCAAGCGTTTTAATTGTAGTTAATTGGCTAAAAGACTATTGCAACACTGATATTCAATCCAATGTTATTTTATTTGACTTAAACAATTTGAAAAAAAAATGAGTTGCCATATCTGGCGGATTTGAACTCCAGACCTCTCGCTTCCTAAGCGAGCGCGGCAAACCCTCGGCCACGGTGAATTATATGATAATAGCCCTGAAGAAAACCATGTTATTCTAAAATTAGGGTTTGTAACGACGCTAACTGTTGTTTAACACTTGTGTAAATAATCATGGCACTTACTATAAGCATGTATATCTATAGAGAATAAAAACAATATTAGAAATCTTCGACCATTCGGGAATTATTTTGCTTGAAAATTAATGCGCCTGTCATTTGACCATCTTTACGCATGTGATCTCCCCTGAATTTTTCGGCGTTAGGTACTAAAGGGAAGTAACCGCTTCAAAAAAGTGGACTACTTTCGGCACTTGCAATTAACAGCATTAGAGTCTGAAATTCGCTACCATTATTTGTTTGGTCTGACGACCCAAACAAATAACAAGGTGCCATAGTCACAAATACGCCCGTTTACGAAGCTTTAGATGGAGATGGGGGCATTATGGATAAGTGTTATCTAGCAAGGAATTTTTTCTTAGCACTGTGTGTTAAATGAACCCTTAAAACAAATCAGTAAGGGAAGATATGCACAGGATGTGTGACCTTGACCTTGGTTGCAGGGACCTGAATTTTATGCACGGCCACTCAGCCTCACAATGATGAACATTTGTGCCAAATTATATTGAAAATCCCTCTATGCATGTAGAAGTTTCGCTCCAGACAAGCGTTTTTCTATGAGCTCTAACTGTGGACCTTCACCTTTGACCTAGAGACTTGGTTCATGTGCAGGGCACTACGTCTCATGGTGGTGAACAATTTTAATAAAGTAACATTAAAATTTCCTCCATGCATGTAGAAAATATTACTCGGACAACATCTGGATATTTAATCATCTCCAGTGACCTTGACCTTGCAAATATTAACCTAAATTAAATGTATCACACCTGTAGTCATGATAGTTACCATTTGTGCTACAATCCATCAATTAATGATGACTAAATGGTCCCTATACACATCTTCAAATTTTTATCTGAACTTTGACCTCTATGTTAACCTTGACTTGGTCGCAGGGATCTGAATTTTTGCGTGCGACACTCAGCCTCACAATGGTGAACATTTGTGCCAAGTTATATTTGAAATCCCCCTATGACTGTAGAAGTTTTGCTCCGGACAAGCGTTTTTCAATGAGCTCTAAGTGTGACCTGACCTTTGACCTGGAGACCTGGATCATGCATGGAGCAATACATATCATGGTGGTGAACATTTCCATAAGTATTATAAAAATTCTTCCATACATGTAGGAGATATGCTCCAGACAAAATCTGGATATTTCACCGTCTTAATTGACCTTGACCTTGCATATATTGACCTAAAGTACATGTGTCACAGCCTGTAGTCATGATAATGACCATTTGTGTTACAATCCCTCAATAAATGATGATTAATCGTCCCTATACACATCTTCATATTTTTATCTAAACTTTGACCTCTATGTGTGACCTTGACCTTGGCTGCAGGGACCTGAATTTTGTGCGCGACACTCCGCCTCACAATGGTGAACATTTGTGCCAAGTTATATTGAAATCCCTCTATGCATGTGGAAGTTTTGCTCCTGACAAGCGTCTAAGTGTGACCTTGACCTTTGACCTAGAGACCTAGTTCATGTGCGTGACATGGCTTCTCATAATTGTGAACATTTCTATGAAATTTCATTAAAATCCCTCCATGCGTGTAGGAGATAGCTCCGGACAAAATCTGGATATTTCATCATCTTTAGTGACCTTGACCTTGTATATATTGACCTAAATTTTATGTATCACAGCCATAGTCTTGATAATGACCATTT